TAATGGCAAGTGTCAATCACATAATAAATTTTTAAATGTAACCATTCACCATATTTTTAGCATATTTATTATTTATATAAATATTTACATTTATGTGAAATTCATTTTGATGAGTGTTTTTATTATATTTTTGTAGTACACATATTTATCATATATTTGTATTGACATCAGTAATTTTTTTTTTGGTACCAGGAATCAAACTCATGATGGCTCAGGCACTGTGCCACTGAGATATATTCCTGGGCTCCATAAGAAAACTTTATGTACCTATGTGCTGGCATAAAATGGTTAACTCATCCATATAGTAAATTCTCAACTAATAGATACAGAAAGAATGATGGAAGCAGAAAAATCACTATTGCAGTAGTGATTCATCGAGGCAAGAATCACTAGTGGATGCTAAAACTAGTGGAAAAGTTCGATGAGAAATTACAGAACTCCAACAGCCTGGAGCAGGGTAAGCTCAGGCTCATGAATCCATGGCATGCCGTAGACCTTTCTCTCAGCTCTTGAGAGATGTCTGCTTATGCTCTGTTGCTGCTAATAATGGCAGTTCTCTATCGTAAGAGTATTGTAGCAAGTGGGGATTTGGACTCTTGGATTTTTGCAAATATTAACTGAATTGCAGTACTAGGCCAGTGAACTTGTTCACAAGTCACTTCACTTATAAGACATAAAAAAAATCAAGATATGAAAAATAAGTCTAGGGTTAAAACCCTTAATAAGAGGCAGAGCCCAGATTCAAATTCGCTGCCTTCTGGCTTTGAGTTAAGCATTGTTCTATGATCCAGGCCCCCTGCAAGCTCTGTGCTTTCTGAGAGTATGCAGAATAATCACACCATGGAAGCATTCTTAAAGCTTCTGATGATTCTTTCCCCCTCACCATATTTACTCTATACCCAGGCTTCATCTTTCTCGCCAACAAAATAGAGACAACACCATCATTCTGTGTCCTTCACTGATGGATTACCTTCTGCGAGCTGCAGTGTTAGTTGGCTTTATCGTTTTGGGGCATCATACTGTGGACTTGTACAAACCTAGATTGTAGAGGTCAATTGCTTGTGTGGTCTCTTGATACAATCAACAGATATGGCAAGCACAGGATTATGCAGCAGCTGTCAGCACAGCATGGCCTCCTGTTTTACAGAAAGCTCTTTTTTAATAAGTGGGATACTCTAAAATAATGATTAAAAGTATATGGGATTAGAAGTCCCATTTGTTCCAGCTATTCCACTTCTAGGCATATTCCCAGAAGAACTGAAAACATCATACAACAGTGATATATGTGCACCCATGTTTATAGCAGCACAATTTGTAATAGCCAGATCTTAGAAACAACCTAAGTGTCCATCGACTGAAGAATGGATAAAAAAGTTGTGGTATTTTTATATAATGGAGTACTACTCAGCTATAAAGAATGATCACAATGAGATATTTATAAATAAATGGACACAACTCAAGACCATACTCATAAGCAAAATAAACTCACATGTATAAATACCATATAGTCTCCCTAGTGTAAGAAGTGGCAAGAGTACATAAGAGTTTATAGTAATCATGATTCCCCATTACATTGCTCTGAAGTCTTATAATGTCTGCATTCATTAGTTGGAATGGTTTTATCCTGGTTTGTTTGATTTTATTATCTGTGATAGTATAAACAGCTATTTTAAATAAAACAAGACATTAGAATAGCCAGTGCTGATTTAGTATCATCTTACTCTGAAGTCCTACTATGCTTTTGTTTTTCTGTTTCCTTTGGTTCTATCCTGTTATATCTTTTTTTTTTTTTTTTTTTTTTTTTGGTACCGAGGATTGAACTCATGACCTAGCACTTGCCATGCAGGTGCTTATGCCACTGAGCTAAATCCCTGGCTTATCCTGTTATATCTTATTGGATATTATTATGTATGATAGTATAAACAAATTTTCTATAGAAAATGAGATAACATAGTAGCTATTGTTCATTCTCTGCTATTTGGTTCTGAAAGCCCTGTAATGCTTTCACTCTCTTGAATGGTTTTATACTGTTTTGTTATGTTTGATACTACCATATATGAAGCTATGCTCAACTATTTCAAAGAAAGAGACATTATGGTAGTTACTGTTAATTATGAGTTGTCTTGTGGTAAAATGCTGTGTTACTTGCATTGTTCTGATCTGATCTGCTTTGTTATGTCCTCTTTTGTCTTAATCTCTTTAAAATAAAAAAAATTTTTTAAATGATTAAAAGTAAAATACAGTAAATACATGAATCCATAACATAGCTGCTAATTATTATTACCAAGTAGTACTACTGTACCTAATTACATGTGTGCTACTTTATTTATTGATTGACTGATTTTGTCTTTATGAGACAGGGTCTCACTATGCAGTTCAGGCTGCCCTTGAGCTCACTTTGTAGCCCAGGCTGGTCTTGAACTCACGACGATCCTCCTGTTTCAGCCTCCCAAGTGCTGGGATTATAGGCACGCGCCACCACACCCAGCTGTGTGTTCCTTTATAAAACTGGCAGGGTAGAAATTTGTTCACACAAGCATGAGAATCATTGGTTAAGGTGTGACACTGTGATAGCTAGATTGTCAGAGGGCCATAGGAATGCTCGAGCTCCATTAGAATCTTATGGAACCACTATCACATATGCAATCTCTTGTTAACCAAAATGCCATTGTGTAGTGCATAACTGTATTTACTGCACATGTTGTTATGGAGATTAAATTAGATAATGTGTGTAAAGCTTGTAGGACAGCATGAAATGGTCCACTAAGTGATAGTAGCAGTGCTAAAGCAGTTGTAATGCTGCCTTCCATGGTGTGATAAGAAATGTTTCCGAAGGACAACCTTTGCTTTTGGACTGAATGGACTGAACGGACTGAACGGATAATTAGGCACCAAAGCATAAGGAGTTCTGTGTATTGTGAAAGGAAGATTGCATCTTATTCTTAAGCAATAGAAAGCACTAAGGAATTCTGTTACTTGGAGAAATGTGATCTGGTTGTCAATTTACCAAGCAGACCAAGAGGAGGAAAGGAAAAAAAAAAGGCAGAGAGACCAGCGGGAGGCTGTCATCAAAGACCAGGCAGGAGACAACGTGGGGCTGAGATGATGAGGGACTGTGGGATGGTGAGGAAGGAGGGTGCAGTGACAGCCCACTGCTGAGCTGAAGGGGGGGGGGGGGGCTTAGGCTGAGCCTCTGGCCTGGACCTTGTTCCCTGGGCAGGGGGAGGGATGATCAGAGTGCAAAGGAGGTGCAGGTTGGGGGTACCAGAAAGTGCCAGGTCGCTGTGGTTTGGAACAGATAGTGGAGTTGCAGTAGATAGTAGAAGTATTCAGAGCTGAATGGAGGACCTGAAGATTAGCTACTGTGATCCAGATCAGAGAGAGAGCCCAGGGCTGGAGAGCCCCGGAAGCTGTGGAGGTGCCTGAGGTGCCTGGGGGAAAATGACAGACTGAAGAGAGGCCTGTGGAGGAGGCTTTGGAAACACCAGGACTTGGAGCTGGCGATAGAAGCCGCTGAGGGAGACAGAGGAGGGGAACACTCAGAAAGGCAAGCAAGGTGCAGGGTGTGAGCTTTCTGCCAGGTCAAAGGCATGGATGGAGCAAACAAAGCAACGAAGGGCTGAGAGGCGCCCATGGGAATTGAAACTGTGACTTTAACAAGAGTAGTCGTCTCGTTGCAGGCAATCTATAATCCAGGCTGCTCAGCAGGCTTAGAGAGAGGAGTGCAAGGTTGAGCCCAGCTTGGCAACTTCGTGAGACTCTGACTCAAAATAAAATTTACAAAGGGCTGGGGCTGTAGCTCCGTGAGTACGGAAGGGCAGAATCCAGTCTGCAGGTGAAGGGGGAGAGAGGCCTTGTAAAGGAGAGAGGTTAGTACATGACTGCTCCTACCGTAGACGCCCTCCTACTGTTCTCCCTTGAGAATCCCCCTCCTTCCAGCACCTTCCCTCAGCTACAGTGCAGCCTTCATTGCTCACACACGTGCTCGTCCAGAGAGCTCTCCGCCTCTGTGTCCCCTCATCAGCCAGCATTGCTCCAACTTCACTTAAAGTGGGTCCCGAGGATGGATCTTATTTCGTTCAGACCGGGCTTCACTTTTACTCACACTGAAGCCTGCATTTCACCTGATCTCTGCTGCCCTTCCTTTAAGGTTGATGATTTCCAACCTCTTTAAAAATATCAACTGGAATAAGTGTCTTCCTCATTATGATGAGTATGCCCGTGTGTGTGTGTGTGTGTGTGTGTGTGTGTGTGTGTGTGTGTAACTAAAAGGAAAATATCACAAAGCAGTAATCACTCGTAGTATGGGGACACAACTCCATTCCATCCTACCTCATATTATTTCATGTTTTTTTTTTAAATTCTGGTCCTGGCCCGCTACATGAATTTCATAACCCACAGGACTGAGTAAGGAAATACATAGTACTAGGAGAGGCTCCAAGGAAAGGATGGCCTGCGTTTTTCTGGGTTCCCTCTCCTTCTCTTGGCTCTGATTCCCATGGACCTCTAATCTGTCAGGATATAGAATTGCTTCAGCCACTAGGTGTTCACATAACCTTGGAGTTATTTGAATTTCCCGAGTGACACAGCAGAGAGAGGAAGGCAGCTGTAATGGTGGTATGCAGAAGTCTGTGGAGAGAAGTCCTCAGCTTGTGAACCGCTCCACAGAGGCCACTGCGCCACAGTGACCCGTGAGGCCTGAGGCACCCTGAGGTCTTTGCATGCCACGCAGGTGCCCTGGGGTATCCCTAACAGCACTGCTCACTGAGGTATTTGAACTTTCCCGGGAGTCCATGAAGCAGGCTTCTGTCCCCAGGCAGACAGGAGACTAGGGTTTGCTGGCCTGGCCTCCAAGCTCTCTTCAGATCTCCCTGGAGAGGGATGGCTGCTTTCAAAACCACTGAACCATTGCTCTCTGTAGTTCACTCACAGAGAGCATCTGGGGGTTGGTTTTGTATTCTGACATTTTCATTTACAATAGCTTTTCTGCTTCTACCTAGGAGAGCCAGGATTCTGAATTTGCCTTGACCTCTGCTTAAGGATGTCCTAGAGAAATAGCAGAGGTCTCCTCTCAGCTGCCATGACGTGCCCGCTGCTGCCATAGATGCGTGAGTGCCCTAGGAGTCTCTGGAAGGGCATATCCATTGTCCACCTGCAATGAGCCAGGCCCCTGGCCAGGCCTCGGCTTCACACAGCTGAACAAAACTCTGTGCCTGGCCTCAAGACGCTTACATCCGATTCAAAGATGAGTGAAGAGCGCTGGGTGTCTCTCACTTCGGAAGAATTTGACCAACTCCAAAAATACTCGGAATGTAAGTAGATGGGTTGACAGATGTGGAATGAGCATTCTTCGAGTCTACAAAGAGCAAAACAGAGCAGTATAATCATTGCAAAGCCACAGAGAATAAGGTCAGGCTTGACAGCCTCCCAGAATTAGTGTCTTTGACATAACAATGCCATTACCTTTAGGCTCTATAAATACCACATGCTCCCCACAGAATTTGGAACATGCATGGAAGGAAACAGAGCAGGTTAAAAATCCCAGGTAATCTCCATGAGCATTTTGAAGCACCCCTTTGAACGGTTCCGTTCTAACTACATTTCCTCTATTTCATTTCCTTTCTAAGCTTGCATTTTCCACCTGACATAATATCTTAAGTATTTTCTCGGGCCAATTAAATCTCTCTATAGCATGATTCTGAAAGACTACAGGTTGCACAGTTACCACACTGCTCAGTCCCTCTTTTTTTTTTTTTTTTTTTTTTTTTGGTATAAATGATTCTTTATGTCCTTCCCCCATGCAGTGGGCGTGGAGCAAGGGGAAATGGGAGGTCAGTATATACCAGTCTACCACTGGCGAGAAGCCCTGTGACCATGAGGCTGGGAATGGGGGTCTACAGCTCCTTCTTCTGGCACTGATCCCCTTTCACCAAGTCATCATGGTGGAGGCAGGGGGCTGGAAGGCCCTAGGAGATGAGGTAAAGATAGTTCTTTCCAGGCTGATGCTGATTTTTAACACATTCTAGCATTTGGATACAAAGCCTTTCTTCAAGAGATGAAACTCTGATGTGTGTGTCTCTCTTGAGCATTCTGGAAAGGCCTGGGCTTTTGCTTAGGGCTTTGGTTTCTGATTCCTTGCGCCCAGGAACCATTTCAATGCATGACGTCACAGTAGTAAAGAGGTGTACGCTTGTACAAGGGGAATCAAAATACAGAGTGTGTGTTTAAATGGAAAAGCCTTTCTACACATTGCTATTAGCGCCCTCAAAATTCTCTGCTCCAAACATACTTACACCATCATCCCTGCCCCTTTTTGAAGCAATATGGAATTCCTTTTTCCTGAGCATCTTCATGAGGTGAGATTTAAAAACTACAGTGAATGCAGCTGCTGAATACCATCTAGGAGAGAGGGAGGCTCAGAAACCTTACAGTGTGTCCACCTTAGTCACCAGATACAGCATCGTGCAACTCCCAGTTCTCCCGCAAAGTCAAAATGATCATGAAAGGTAAATATGGAAACTGACTCAGGCCGAGAAGGCAGCCACAACAGTGCTCCTAGAGACAGACCCTATACTCAGGAAACAGCGCTTCCAGAAATGCTTCGGAAAGTGACAGGAATGGTGAGAGGAGTGTGTTCAGAGGGAGAAGGAATATTTCCAGGGAGATGAATGGCCCTGTGTCTCTTGCAGTAAGAAATTTAAAAAACAAAATGAAGCATTCACTGTATGTTTTCAGCACACAGCTGTGCCCTGCAAAAGCTGCTGCCGCTCCTGACTGATGACAGGAGGCTGCTGGGCCTGAGCACGGCCTGCTGGGCACACATAGTGGCCATCACTCATTGCAGCAAGACACTGGCTGTCCTCAGAGCCTGTCTGACAGCGTCCCGCATCCTAAGCACCTCTCCCCTCTGTGGTTACTGTACTGACTCTGTCGTAAATCACTGGGATTCTAGTGCAGAGGTCGCCCCCAAAGCTTCCAACTGCCTTTTGGCAGCACCCTCTCCGTCCCCCACCCCAGGGCCAGCAGCTCTTGTCCACAGCATGGGGCTGGCAGCCGAGGGACTGAGCCAAAGTGCCAGCTGCACTCCCTGCACGTCTTGTTCTCTGTGGAGTGACAGTCCTTAATACCCCAAGCCTCATGTCCTCTTCTGTGTGTTAGCTTGGGTGTTGTCACCCTGTAGTCCCATCCTGGGCTGGCGCCTTTTGCTTCCACACCTCCCAAGGCCAACACGACCTCCCTGGCATCATTCATCAGTCCCTTCCTGGTACTCTGGGACAGCACTGTCTTGTCTCTCTGAGATGGGCTTAGGAAATCCCTGCGATGGACTGACTGGGAGCCAGGGTAAAAATGATTCAGTTCGAAGTGCCAGGGGCCATCCATCAGGGGTGAAAAAGGAGCCCACAGAAAAGGCCTACCTGAGAGGAGTCAGAGTCTTGTTAGCGAGTAGGAAACATGTCAGGGACACAAGCAGACAACAGCTCTGAGGCAGCAGGAAACAGGTCTGGGAGCCAAAGGGAGGAGAGAACTGTGGGCCATTGGAAGCTGGAACTGCGTGCTGTAGGTGCCTCCCACCTTAGTCACCAGATACAGCAGAGAAGCCGCAGGAATGCATGGGCTCAAAGTGCAGAAGTTAGCAGTCCCAACTCAGGAGCTGGCAGGATTGGGTCATCTGCAGGCTGTGAGGAAGGACCCATCCCAGGTTGGTCTCCTCAGCTTGTATAGCCGCACTCCACCAAGTCTCTGCACCGGGGCTCTCCCTGCCTGTGTCTCTGGGCCCAGATTTTCCCTTGTGATAAGGATGTATCATATTGGATCAGATCTGCCCTCTCCTGTGTGACCTCATTTTACCTAGTGAGTCTGCAGCCCCTCTATATATGGTGGCATCAGGGAGTCCTAGAAGCTAGGACTTTATTATAGGAGTGTGAGAGGCACGACTGACCCTTAACAGGAGTGGAGTTAGCAGAGTGCACTCTAAAGAAGAAAGAGGTCCCAAATGTGTGTAGTTGGTAGTAAAGGAAAAAAGGGAGCCAAACTAGGGGGCTCAGAGGGAAAGGGTGTGCAGAGGGTGATGACTAGAGGTCTGGGCTGGGTGGAAAGAATGAGCAGGAGGAGGGGAGGAGAGGCTGTGAGAAGGGATGGAGTTAGCAGGAGGCCTTGACCCTGCATGTGCCTTGGAACAAGGTACAAGACATAGGACCGTGGATCTGGAGGCTGTGTGCAGCGCGGCTTGGATATGGAAGCTGCCAGGGGAGGGGTCAGGCAGAGTCCATTAGATGAGGTCCAGCTGAGCTGAGGAACAAGGCCAGGATGGGGATGGTGACAAGGATAAATGCCAACGCATGGGACATTGCAGTAGGACTGTCATCAGAGCTTACGGAAAGGAAGGAAGCCATCAGAGACACCTCAAGAATGGGATGTATAGAAAGTCGCAGCAGCAGGACAAGGTTGGGGCTGGTGGAGACAGTTTGGGAGCATTGGCTTTGACATGGTGACCGTTCTGCTGACACATTCATGTGTGCCAGGTTCCAGGGGCCTGCAAAGAATGAGGTGTAGCTTTCTGTTCCCAGAAAGCCAAGGCCTCATGGGCAAGAGGACAAGACTTGAACAATGATATCGCCGTGCAGCAGGTGCTGAGAAGTAGGAGTCAGGGAAAGAGGCCTTGCTCAGCCCAGCGGGGCTTCCTGGTGCAGTGCTGTCACCAGACACAGGCCAAGAGCCTCCAGCACATGTTGGTGGGTTTGTGGGAGGAGTTGGAAGAAGAATCAGAAAGCCTCGTGGGAGCCCATCTCAAGGGTCGTGCTTTCAAGGGAGGCACCTGGTGTGTGGTGAAGATGGACGGAGAAGAGAGGGTTAGACTGCAGCTCAGACTTGGGAATCAAGGAAACAACAGAGAAAGAAAACAACAAGGCTGAAGTCAGAGAACCAGATTAGGAGTAAAGAAAAGAGGATGACGAATGTGGTTTAGGGTGTATCCTAAACTGGAGTTCAGGGGAGGAAAAGGATCAGAATGCAGAGATATCCAGGCACATGGCACATGCCCATAACCCCAGAATTCTGGGTGGCTGAGGCAGGAGGATCACTGGATTGAACTTAACCCGGGCAACTTAGTGGTTTCCTAAGACAGTCTCGAAATTCTAAAAGTTTTAAAAGGACTGCAGATGTGGCTCATTGTGGCATCCAGGGTTCAATCTCCAGAACTGTAAGGGAGTGAGGAGAAAGACAGCAGAAAATCAGGAAGCAACCTAAGAAGAGCCCAGGATGGCAGGAGTGGGGAGAAGGAGGATTCTCAGTGTGGAGAGAGAGCAGAGGTGTGAGGAACGAAAGGAGCCAGAGCGTGTAGGAGTAAGGGGTTCCTGGGAGTTTGGGACTTTCCTTCAGTCCCCACTGCTGTCCTTCCCTGGTCCTTGCCCATACTGCCCACACCACAGGCCTAGACGAAGTGCTCTGGTACTGTCATTCTAACAGGAGAGAAAAAAAGACAAAATTCTTGGAAGATGATTAATCCTCGGAGGAAACCCTGAAACAGTCACTTCCACCAATTTTAGATACATTCTGGTATTTAGAAGGATGGAATTGCCTAGCAACCACTCTTCCAAACCCACATAAACAGGGGTTTCACAATAGTGAAATGCTAAAGTATGGAGCCCGAGAGTAGAGAACCAGTGGGTTACTGGGGGAAGAGGCTCCATTCCTGATGCATAACTCTGCACCTCCTCTGGTGTCATCTAGGGTGGAGAGACCTTCTTACAACTGTTCTGGAGATGCAGGTACTTACTTTATATGTGTACTTATGATCGTACATGTACACACACATCTCTAGTTGACAGGAAGCTTCTTGTGAATTGACAGTGTAAAGCTGAGAAATTTTTATTATCAATTAAAAGCACAATCAAATTTTTGAAAAGCAGACAGATAAAATTTAAAGCTACCCACAATCCCTGTTTCCCAATGATAAGAACTACTAGCATGTTTGTGTATAAATATATTTGTGTAAGAATAAATATGTTACATATACATGTCCATATGCATATGTACACATATGTAGATACATATGTAAAGCAAACTTGAGAAGATGCATTCTGTGTTATTTTGCATGCTATTTTGTTTCCTTCTCCATAACCATATGTTTCAATTATGCATTGCTACTTCAAAATTTGGGGGCTTAAACGACCACCATTTTGGTTTTTACCATGATTGTGTGGATCAAAAATCTGAACAGGACCCAAAGGGCGTGGTCAGTCTCTGATCCATATGTTTGGAGCTTTGCGTAAGGCACCTCAAAGATTGCAGAAGTAGACCATCCTTGCATGGT